ATTATTAATAACTCACAATAAAGTAAAAATGAATTAACATAAAATAATTTAAAAAATAATAAATAATAGTTCAATAAAAGGGAATATATTTCAAATGGCATATCAATATGCCCAGTTTTGCTCACATATTATATTCTCTTCAATATTCGTCGGTTGGTTATGTTAAGAGAGCGTATGTGTACAGATTCACCGCTGTTATAAAAGCGAAAAATGTTATTTGTTTCTCGTGCATCTGTGGTGAACTCCTTGATAAATTCCTACAAATTGTTCGCTGTCGAACCTGCACCTTCTCATTGTTTTAAGTTCTCTGGCTTGACTTGTTCCACTACTGTGCGTCTGTGTGTGAGTTTGGGTACAAGCGGCAACGGAACAGTGTAGCTCAGACATGGAATTTATCCCCTCTCAGAGAGAAGGTATATTTTTGATGTAAAAAGTTACTTAATTTTAGTTTAGATCTGACGGTTTTTAAATATATGTAAAAGGTGTATGTGTCTTTTGAACAAATAATAAAATAATAATAATAGTATAATTCAAAATTTCATCGCTACGACAACCCTGCTTCACTTTTGTTTATTTACATTCCAAGCTGCAGCCACATATGCATATGTACTTACACACGAGTACATCTCTCACATAAATCAGAGCGTTTCCGTTGAGCGACTTGCGCTCAATATTTGCTCGCTGTTAACGGTTGCTGTTAGGCATAACATTTGTTTTCATTTTTTCGACCAGTTGCTTGCCATGCAGCGTTGTTGTTGTTGTAGTTGCTGTTAACAGACTGAGTAGTCGGAATTAATGAATGGTGCGGTCAAATAATTATGGACATGGCGCGTTAACTTCGGTGGAAGTTGTGTGTATATAAGTGTATTTATAGTATATAGTTATATCAGAGAACTTAAAACAATGAGAAGGTGCAAATTGAATTTTGTATGATGCTCGATTGGTTGGCTGAAAATTTGAGATCAAGGAGTTCACCACTTTCTGTATAGTTTTGCTGTTATTTAACAGAAATGAGAATTTTTAACAAAGTTCTCTGACAAAATACGTATCTACCAATATAAAGAGAAAAATGAAATGAAATGAATGAGAAAACAAGAAATACAAATGCCACTTCACATATGCATGATTATTTTTTGCCATATAAACGATTTTTATGATGAAAAATTATTATTTTTTTGCACAAATGCTACATTGATAAAATGTGAAAGATTATGCAAAAAATGATATTTTACTAATTTCATAATTTTCTAATTTCAATTTTTACAGAATTAATAATTTATGTATGTACATCAATATGTTATATTATATAATATAATAATATATTATCAATTATCAATAAATACATGTGAGCGCACTGCTCTATATGTAAGTATGTATGTACAAATATGCATATGACATTGCAAAATAAGTAATACATACGCAAATCCACATATATCAAATAGCATCAGCACCAGAAATCAATATGGCAGCCAAATTGACAAATCTAAATTTGTAGTAATCACACACCAACAACATTTTCATTCATGAACGCTGGCGCACAAGCAATAAGCTAAGTCGTTTCATTCATAAAAGCAAACGCCTTACACATCTCCCAGCATGCGTTTGCCTACAAGCGTCTTTTCGCGACGATGGCAAAAGCTAAAATCATAAATTGAACAAATTTCTGATATTCCCTCGGAAGGAAAAGTGCAAACCACGCAAGCCCACAAAACACAGAAAAAATTGACAAAAGTGGCAACAAAGCTTTTGTCGATTTAAAATATTTCACAATTCTAAAATATTTTTCCGTGGCTCGCAAAATCTTCGTCAATATGTATGCATGCTCATATAAATACATACATACCTACAATGATTTGTTGGCAAAGCTGTTAGAGCGGCAAGGAAGCGATGACAATCGGCGAACGTTCGGTTAGTTTTCGGCACTTCTCGGATTTTCTACCAACAACACAATGTTGTGACGCTTTGTCGTCGCGTCAGTCCTTCGACAGATAGACTCTTTGACATAAAAGCAAAAATGTGTCATGAGATTTCACATGAAGAATTGAGTGTACATATATACATACAAATACATACAAATGTGCAAACGACATAAGATATGTATGTCATAATATATCAAAAGTACATATTTACGTACATAATTACTTTTACACATGCATTTGAAAAGAAAATTGAAGCATGAATGTGAAATGCCGACGGCAAAACACAATTCTGTACTTTGTGACTCCATAATTGTGTCAAGTAAATGAATGTTTTAAGAAAATATATTATATCAAAATATTTTTAAATTATTATTAATAACTCACAATAAAGTAAAAATGAATTAACATAAAATAATTTAAAAAATAATAAATAATAGTTCAATAAAAGGGAATATATTTCAAATGGCATATCAATATTCCCAGTTTGGCATACATATTGTATTCTCTTCAATATTCGCGTTTGTATTGTTAGAGAGCGTATGTTTACAGATTCACCGCTGTTATAAAAGCGAGAAATGTTATTTGTTTCTCGTGCATATGTGGTGAACTCCTTGATAAATTCCTACAAATTGTTCGCTGTCGAACCTGCACCTTCTCATTGTTTTAAGTTCTCTGGTTATATGTGTAGCGTTCGTTTCGAGTTACCGTAGTTGTCTACTTGTTAATGATTGTTAATCATATCATTTAGCCAGAGAACTTAAAACAATGAGAAGGTGCAAATTGAATTTTGTATGATGCTCGATTGGTTGGCTGAAAATTTGAGATCAAGGAGTTCACCACTTTCTGTATAGTTTTGCTGTTATTTAACAGAAATGAGAATTTTTAACAAAGTTCTCTGACAAAATACGTATCTACCAATATAAAGAGAAAAATGAAATGAAATGAATGAGAAAACAAGAAATACAAATGCCACTTCACATATGCATGATTATTTTTTGCCATATAAACGATTTTTATGATGAAAAATTATTATTTTTTTGCACAAATGCTACATTGATAAAATGTGAAAGATTATGCAAAAAATGATATTTTACTAATTTCATAATTTTCTAATTTCAATTTTTACAGAATTAATAATTTATGTATGTACATCAATATGTTATATTATATAATATAATAATATATTATCAATTATCAATAAATACATGTGAGCGCACTGCTCTATATGTAAGTATGTATGTACAAATATGCATATGACATTGCAAAATAAGTAATACATACGCAAATCCACATATATCAAATAGCATCAGCACCAGAAATCAATATGGCAGCCAAATTGACAAATCCTAAATTTGTAGTAAATCACACACCAACAACATTTTCATTCATGAACGCTGGCGCACAAGCAATAAGCTAAGTCGTTTCATTCATAAAAGCAAACGCCTTACACATCTCCCCGAGCATGCGTTTGCCTACAAGCGTCTTTTCGCGACGATGGCAAAAGCTAAAAATCATAAATTGAACAAATTTCTGATATTCCCTCTGGAAGGAAAAAGTTGCAACCACGCAAGCCCACAAAACACAGAAAAAATTGACAAAAGTGGCAACAAAGCTTTTGTCGATTTAAAATATTTCACAATTCTAAAATATTTTTCCGTGGCTCGCAAAAATCTTCGTCAATATGTATGCATGCTCATATAAATACATACATACCTACAATGATTTGTTGGCAAAGCTGTTAGAGCGGCAAGGGAAGCGATGACAATCGGCGAACGTTCGGTTAGTTTTCGGCACTTCTCGGATTTTCTACCAACAACACAATGTTGTGACGCTTTGTCGTCGCGTCAGTCCTTCGACAGATAGACTCTTTGACATAAAAGCAAAAAATGTGTCAATGGAGATTTCACATGAAGAATTGAGTGTACATATATACATACAAATACATACAAATGTGCAAACGACATAAGATATGTATGTCATAATATATCAAAGTACATATTTACGTACATAATTACTTTTACACATGCATTTGAAAAGAAAAATTGAAGCATGAATGTGAAATGCCGACGGCAAAACACAATTCTGTACTTTTGTGACTCCATAATTGTGTCAAGTAAATGAATGATTTTAAGAAATATATTATATCAAAATATTTTTAAATTATTATTAATAACTCACAATAAAGTAAAAATGAATTAACATAAAATAATTTAAAAAATAATAAATAATAGTTCAATAAAAGGGAATATATTTCAAATGGCATATCAATATTCCCAGTTTGGCATACATATTGTATTCTCTTCAATATTCGCCGTTTGGTTATGTTAAGAGAGCGTATGTTTACAGATTCACCGCTGTTATAAAAGCGAGAAATGTTATTTGTTTCTCGTGCATATGTGGTGAACTCCTTGATAAATTCCTACAAATTGTTCGCTGTCGAACCTGCACCTTCTCATTGTTTTAAGTTCTCTGATTTAGCATTAAAGCGTGCAAATTGATTGGCGAAGATTGAGAGAATTTATGAATGAAAAGAAAAACCTATATATACCATATTTATACATATGTATACAAATGTATTTACATAAAAGATTTAGAAATTAATTCAAAAATTTTAATTTTATTTACGCTTTGGGTCAAATTCTTCGATGAAATGCATTTTATAATAAAAAAATTTAAGTATGATTCATATGTATGTATACGATTTATAAAAAGCCGTATCTATCTCAATTGGTTTTAGTTTAGTTGTTACGAACTGGAGGTTTTTATCCGAAATTCTGAGAACGATTTTCCTGAGGCCGCCAGTTTTGACCAGGACACTAAATTATCTATTTATAAAACTAAGTTTTGCCATCCGATTGGTTTTAGATGAGTCGCCAACGATTACTGATGGTAACCACCAGCAGCTGCGGCTGGAACCGGATCAACACAAAGAGTTATTAATTTTTAATTTTTTTTTTTTACCAAATTTCTGTCAAGTCAGGTCGAAACATAATTTATGAAGCTTCGTTTTCACTTTTATAAAATAAAATTATTTATTGGAAAAATTATTAAAAATTCTAGTTTTTTCGTGACTCTGACAACACCTAACCCCTTAATTGATAACATTATTACCACATTAATGTATTTTAGAGAATATTTTCATACACAAATTCTTAAAAGCTTTCACTTTTGGTCTCGCTCGAATTAAGCACTTCCTTACTTTATTAATATAGTTTTTCTCATTTATATATGTTCTACAAAATTTTCTTTACTTCTCTTTGGTTTAACTAGCGTTATCACAATTTTTATAATGACTCGAGCTTTTACTCTAACTTAATGTTCACTAATTTCTAAAATCTTCGTGCTGAAAACCAAATTATACAATATCAATTTAATATACAACTTTTCGAGTATATTACTGTCTATAAGATTCCTACACATACCAATTACTGTCTATTTTGGCCAGATTACCCAATCACAACAGCTGTTATGTCAATTATTTAACTTTAGTGTTGCGCTTAGGTCAAGAATCCCCAAACACATATCGAGTAGATTACTCACCACACCGACGGCATGCCGTTGCCGCAGCTCAGCAGCAATTTCGGCAAATTTGCATAGGAATTCCATTTCGAACGACTGCAAGCAGCCGAGATAGGAACAGACAAGTAAATCGCGGGCTTGCCGAATTAGAATCGAGCGTGTACACGCCATATAGACAGGATAAATGGCGGCGAGGTGTTTGTCAATCAGCGCAGCGGTGCCCGAGTCCTACAACAACAGCGGATAACGGAGAGAAAGCAAAGAAAAATTATTAAGAAAAGCAGACTTGTGGTAATGAACAGACAATTGTGTGGAAAATTTATATAATATATTTTTTAGAAAAGTGTTGGAAGTGCAACAAAAGGTTCGTAAGTGCAATGGACGGTGAGTTGGGCAAGGTAAATGATGGTATTACTTACCATATGTATAGCGCAAGCTAATTGTTCCTCCTTGACAAGTGGCGGACAGCTGCTGCTGATATTCATGAGCGACTGTTGTTGCTGTGTTTGTTGTTGTAGCAATTTTCTTCTACCGCCATCAGCGGCAACGGTTGAGCACTTTAGCTTGCCAGTTTGCAGGCTGTCACTTTGTATCTGTTGTTGGCATTTTTTGTTGCATCTGTCTTGTCTCTTGTTCGACAGTTAAATCAGCCGAGTCATCAACTTGGACTTCAACTTCAGCGGCCGCCAAAGTGAGGGCGTCGCGCTTATGCTTAGCAGAGGGCAACAGTGTCGGATGTTGTTGTTGTTGTTGGTCAGCACTGACATTTGAACTACCGCTGTCCGTCAACACTGACGGTGACGGCGAACTAAAGTCAATATCATCATAAGCCAACACCGATTGTTCGCTTGTTAAGTGCGCTTCTTCGTCTAGCCCCAACGACGCCTCCTCTCCCGCCGTGCGCTCTTCCTCCACGACCATCGCAATTGGTGAAAATAGCGTGTGCGCTACTGCGCCGCCCTGTCGGTCGGTTGTGGCAATTAATGTAGTGGTACACGCCTTATTCTCAACTTCCTCATACGCCCCTCTGCTCCTTTCTTCATCCTTTTTTTCTTCGAGAGCGGAGAATTGCTGGGTGCTTGGGCTGCGCGCTGTACTCGACACCACAACGCCAATCGATTCTTGGCACTTTTCATCTTGCACATACGTTTTGCTGACGGTTGTTGTTGTTGCTGCTGTAGAATTCGTTGTATTTGCGACCGCCTGTTGATGCTGACCCGTCAGCCGATCCTTGCACCGCTTCAAGTATGTACGCACGCGCGATTTGCTGCGCTGCATTGGTTTCTCTGTTGTCGCCACTGTTGTTGTTGTAACTGAATTAATATTCAAATCGATATCGACTTGGCAACACTGTTCGTTGTCATTGACCAAACAGCAGCAACTTTCCCGTTGTTTTTCTGCCAACTCCACATCGGGGTCACCATCCTCCTCCCCGGAATACCAAACCTCCTCGGCGTCGTCTTCCTCTTGCGCAATTGGTGCAGTGGCAGCCGTACTTCGTACCCCGACCATTGTGTTGGCCTCGCTTGCAGTTGTTGCCGCATTTGCCGCATTGCCACAGTTCCAGCTGTTTATGCCGGCTTCATGGCTCTCATCAGTTGTGTTGGTGCGGCTCTTAGTGGCCTCCGCCACAGTTGGTCTTTCTATAACTGCTGCTGTTGTTGTTGCTGTAATCGCTTTTGTGTCATTCACCGGCATAACCAGCACCTCCGCCAAGTGTTCTTCGGCGTTGACGTTGTTGCAATTGTGTTTGCAATTATTTGTGCTGTTTGTTGTTGTTGTTGTTGTTAATATTGCAACACTATGCTGTTCACCCTCAGGTGGCCTACTTGTACTATTGCCACTTATATTGCCACTTTGACCGTTATTTTGATTGTTGCTTGTGCTGTTGGCGTTGTTGTTGCTGGGCTGTGGACTCGCCTGAGGCGTCAAAAAGAGAAAAGATAAAAAGGAAGACTTAGTAAAAGGTGAGTGTGATTATATATTGTGTACATCTGTTTATAATTGGTTGTTGATATTGTTGTTGTTGTATATCAGCAACTATATCAAAGTTTTCTGGTTCATACTGTTGCTAGGCAAACACAAATTCATTCACAATTATTTAGGTGATAAAGAAATTCTATAAAAAATTGCATTCTGATGATAAAAATATCGACAAATCCGTTTTTAAAATAAGTTTGGCAGTTTGGATCCCAAAAGTACTTAGAACTTGATTCACACACGGTTCGACTTTATTCTACCGTAAAAAGTGACGACGCAGAGAGGTCAAGGGAAGAGAAAAATAATATTCACAATATTTCACATGATCAAAGATCAATGAGAATTCAGACCTTGAAAACACCTAAAGTACAAGTAGTAGTATTTGTATGAAAAAATATATACTGTTTGAATCACGAAATCGACCGGTTTCTATTAAAGCCTGTCTCTTTCTAATCCATAGAACGTTAATATTGATACCATAAGGACAATCCTATGACCAACTATACCGGTCTTCATAATGCCACAGGCGCACACACCTCTTTATGAATTCTAAAGTCACCTTCCTGTCAAACTAGAATGCTCTATTAAAGAAATATATACCTCGTGTCATATACTTGTGTATCATGAGAAGAATAACCACCACAAACCCTCAAATATAAACTTTCGTCTTCACTTCGAAAATTGGTATTTCTTTTGTTAAAATGAATTAGTATCAAATTTTTTACAGGAACCCCCCGAAAATAGCGTTAGACGGGGAAATAACATCTAGTTAAATATCTAATCCACAAATACTCGGTTCTCTAAAAATTGTCCGTTTTTCGTTTCAAATATGATTTAATTAATGATTTGCAAACATTTTTGATAAGGAGGAAGACATTTTTATTTTATTTTTTGATATTCTGTACAATAACTCACTGTGTACATAGCCTAGTGTATGTTACTCATACGACCGCAGATCTTCAGGATTACAAACTTTCCTTTCCTCTTGCCTCTAATAATGTTAGTTCTAAACATAAGAGAAGTTTAAGAATAAAAGCCATAGAAATATGGAACGAAAAAACGTTAGAAAGGAAATAAAATAATAAAATATAAGAGTTTATCAAATCGGAGAGGCAAAATTTGTTGATCAGGCTGGAGGTATATCAACTAGTGTTAGATATAGTGTGCAATACTATTTTTCAGTGCAAAACGAAAGTTTATATTTGAGGGGTTTGTGGTGGTTATTCTTCTCATGATATACAAAGATGGACAAAAAATTAATAAAAAATTGGCTTTATTTTTAAGATCAGATATAAAAATATATTGAAAAATTATATAGTTTTCTTTCTTTGTGTATACCTCCAGATACTAATTACTCATTAGATTTTATCTTACATTGAATAGAGCAAATATTTCATGTTTTACCTGAATATAAGGCCGTGATCAAACAAGTATATATTTTTTCATACAAATACTACTACTTGTAACTATTAGGTGGTTTTTCAAGGTCTGAAATCCATTGAAAATATTTTGAATATATTTCTCTTCCCTTGAGCTCTTCTTGCCGACACTTTTTAGGTTAAATTAAGTCGAACCGGTTTGTTGATCAAGTTCTGGAGAAAGTAGAGTACTTTGAGATCCCAAGCTGCTGAACTTATTTTGCTTTAAATAACGGATTTTCGTCGATATTTTTTATCGTGTGTGTGGAAATCAGAACTACAGCAATTATGCGTGTTTGTAGCTGAGTGGGTCCGAGCAAATGAGGACAAACATCAATCGCATATAAAGGGCTTGGTGAATTGGAAGCAGAAAAAAGAACAGGCACGGTATGGCAAGAACTTAGAAAAATACACATAAGTAAGTTTATTATATGCCACAACAGACAGGGTAAGGCATGCGAGCAGGTGGTGGGAATTTCAGAAAGCGAGCAAGTGGGGAGTGCTTAGTTAACAGAGCGAAGTCTAGGAAATATAATTTTTTATTGCAACAAAATTTCAAATAGATTGCGTGTTAGCGCTGAATGCAAACTGTAAAGTGGCAACTAGTCACAGTAGCACCTGAGGCCGGTGAACAGCATGTGTTGCAATTCCTTCTAGTGTTTTTTTTTTTGGCTTTTTGTTTCTTGGCGAGAACTCTTACAAGGAATATTGTACTATATAAAGTACTCGTTTTGTATTGGAAAGTGCAGAATATTTTGGCATGCAGCCGAAACTCAACTTGACATAGGTCAAGTGTAGCATTCAATTTCAAACAGAAAAATAAACAATATTTTACTCAGAACTGTGGTTGGTTAACTTGACTTAAAGTTACTTGCAAGGGTGATTGTAGTTGAAGAGACAAAGTGAGTACGTTGAGTTTAGCTTTCAAAGCAGAAATGTTGCCAAATAATATTTACGAGAAACTATATGAATATATAAATTTACATATGATTTCGAATTAAAGAGCTTAATGTTCAGATTATTGGATTTTACCAAAATACACTTATTTCAAGAAAAAAACTTAATAATGTCTAACAAATTTTTCTTCACACTTTTAACAGTTAAAGCACATATACAACCACAACACTTTTTATGTGTTCGCTTATAACTGTGCATATGCATAGCCTTTTCAGCCAGACGCTGCCATACACACACAGCAGCTGTCTGGGCGCCTCACCTTTTTTCGCAGAAAATGCATGCCGAACTACACAACAGCAGACAGCTCACTTCAATGGGCAATTGAACTTAATTTGTTATTTTCAATATTTTCGAAAATCACAGCACTTTTCAAAACATTTTTACTTGCAAAATTTACTTTGCATAATTTTCACTGGTTCTCCATTTCTATTTGCATAAAATTTCAATTTTTAAATTTCATGCACATTTACACAAAAATTTTTACTTTCGTTTTCTTATTTCACTTCCACAGTTTTCCGCTTCACGCAAAATTCGCGTATCTTCGCGTCGGTTGCGTTTTGTTTACTGTCGCGCCTCTGCTTCGTATAAGGTTAGTTTCGTCTTAGCGGCAAACACTGGTGGTAGCGCATTTTGGGAGTGACGCTGTCGGCGGTAGAAATTACTCATCCTTTTGGCTGGCAGCGCCCAGCCCCTGTTGTCGGTTGACGTGTCTCGGAAACTAAAGTGGCGCTAAATTGTTGTAAGTGGCGCTGGCGCTAGCGGCAAGCTAATCGGTGGGCCAGTGAACGACCGACCAGCAGCCATTGTGTCGTATGTAAAATATGAGTTTGGCTGTTTGTTCGAATTTCCTTGGTAACGCTAGTGCGAATACAATTTGTTTGCGAGCATAGGCTTTTAATTAAGCGCAAAAAGCTTCAAATTAGTGTTTTTCGAATTTTATTTTTTTTGCCAGGCATATTCCCTACATGACAGCAGTTATTTGAAGTGACTCTCATATTTATTTTATTAAAGTAGTGTAGGTTTTCTTTCAATTTCGAACTTAAAAAAACTTATTTTATGATCTATGTTAAAAAAAGGCCATTGTTTTTAGTGCTAAAAATGCTGTTACAACTCCTATGTTTTCAGTTATGGTAAAAGCAACTCACACTTCTCTCTTTTATCTCTCTCATAGTTATTTAATGAACTTCTCGTCAATCAAATTCAATTGGATCATGTCTACTTTTAGGATTTTTATACTTTTTGTTGGAAATAAATATTGGCTTGTACTTCTCACACGGTTATTGAAAGACACTTGCTAGGCGTAATCATAACTTTAGGCAGCATTATTTTATTTGCATTTCATGAGTGGGTTTGCAGACACTACAATGTTAGTATAATATATGGGAAACATAAACTAATGATCGACTACGACTGATTTGAAAAACTCTTATATTGATGTATTAGAAAATAATAGATATATTATTATTAATTTTAGACGAATCAACAATACGATATCTTAAATAACATCGTCAGTAAATAAATTTCTGTTCATAGTCCTTATAATATTCTTTTAAATGCCTTTTTACTTTTTAGTTCTCATTAGAATGTTCAGTCATTTTTAAAAACTGCATAAACTCATAAATTCGAGATTTTTAATTATGGAGGGTATTCATTCTAAAAATAAGAAAAAACTTTAGCTTCGGCTGCATTTCTTATATCTTAGGTTAGGCCGTAGGGTTCATCCAAAATCTATGGATCTCACTTGGACAAATGTTTGTCCGAATTTGAGCTTACCACAAATTTATTAAGTCGATTAATATCAATCTCAGCCACTTCTCTAAGATCTTCAATTTTGTGTCTATTATACTTTAATCTCATTCTGGCAAAAGCCGGGCAATAGAGAAGAAAGCAACAAGGTGACTCAACCTCGACCTACTCTTTACAGCGTTGGCAAAGAGCGTCCGACAATACATTTACATTTTATATTTGTATACGAAATGCTATACCGATATCTCATAAACTTAGGAACTACAAGTAGTTTTCGTAAATACAGACCGACAGATGGACATGTTTAAATGGGCTCACCTCGTCACACTGATCATTATATATATATATCGTCTCGACGATTATTTCGTTTAAATTCGTAGAAACTTAATACCTTGTTCAAGGTATAATAAGATAAGCGCAAATATTTCTATAAGTTAGCTTCCAAATACTTAATTGTAAAAATCATCACAGAGGGCGCTCAACAGAGAGCATGCGCATTTTCAAAAGCTTACAAGCAACGGCCGGAAAGCTTTTATGTCAATTCAAGTACAAAACAAATAAGTGGAACAATAAATAACAGTTGCATTATAAATTAAGTTAGTTTTGGGTTTTGCATGAAAGTTTGTGAGCACACTGATTTCGATTGCTTTTGTTTTTTGTGGCACATCAGAAGTAAAAGATCAAGATAATAGAATTACAGCATATAACGCAATAATTAACAAAACACAAAGGAACCCTACTTCACAGACGATTTTGAGGAATTATTTATTGTATTATAAATATAATCGTTTACCTATGTATACATATATAAATATACGTTTACAAATGTGCTACATGCGGTTAATTATAGGCCTCGACAACACCGGTGGCGAGGTTGACCAGCGAGGCAGTGCCATCATTTCACAAATTATGACACATACGCATGCAATTAACTGAACGCCAAAGCGTTTTGCAACGCACCTCTTATCTTGGGACAATCAACAATCACTAAAAACAACAACAACAATAATAAATGCTTGCGCAACTTTTGATGTCTTCCGCCTATTTAAGTATCCATTTCATTTTGGTTGACCATTATCCATTTCATTTTTCCTTTTTTTTTTTAGGTTATTTATTTAACACATTTAATCCTCCTCAAAGACACGCATATTTATTTAAATATATTTATATTAATATATATGTACATACATTCATATCAGCTTGCATGTACATGTAACTGAAAATTTGGCGCTATAAATGCACACAAATTCATACAAATTAACTAAATGAAAAAGACGCGGGAGAAATACCTTGCGTGGAATTGGACTAGTTACGGACTAGTAAGACTTATTGAAATCGGTATATCTTGTGACTAGAAAGTTTCCAGAAATTGTAAATAAAACGAAATATTTTTAATTTTCATCAATATTTATTTGGTCGCCTTCAAAATATTTTATGTGCCACCTCTTTTTCCAATCATCGAAACATCATGCCTTGTAGGCGCTGCCCGGTATCACCTTCAGTTCCTCTGCGAATTTTCTTTACGGCCTCAATCGAGTCGAAACGGGTTCCACGGAGCGGTACATTAGTTGTGGGACAAAAATAGTCGCATGGGGCCAAATCCGGTGAATACGGTGGCTGATCGATGGTATTGAATGAGTTTTGGTCTTAAAATCGTTCACAACTATGGTCTTTCTGAAAAATTCAGCTCTTTGGAACAACTCGGCATTGCCAATATCGTCAAAACAAACGAGCTGCTCCACGGCCGATGTTTAGCTTACTTATTATCTATCTAACACTCACATGACATTTTTCGAGCACGGTTTCCTTCACTTTTTTGATGTTATCGTCAGTGGTAGACGTCGAAGGACGACAGGAACGAGGCATATCCTCGACGGTTTCACGACCATCCTTAAAGGCTTTATACCAGCCGTAGACTTCGGTATTATATCTTTCGCAACGATTCCGCACACGAAATTTTATGCAAAATCCTTGTTCAATGTTTTGTTTCATTGTAAAAATCGCAAAACACTACTGAGGTCGGCTGATTTCATATAGTTTATATTGGCATAGTAATTAAGGACAGTGCTACCAAATAAACAAAAAAAAGTGCTGAAAAATATTGAGCGCGGGCAGTTTAAATGACAATTTCCGGAAACTTTCTGGTCACAGTGTAGGGGAGAATTAATTGGTTAAAACGTGAACCCAAAATCGAGAGCTATTCAATTAAGAGTCAATTACCAACAGAGAAGGGCAACGGTGGCTTTGAACGTCAAATGAGTCTATATTTCCAATCCCATACTAAAGATGAAGAAATGATGAAGATATTGCATTGCTGCCGATTGGAGATGGTTAAGGTCAAAGTTGAACTTTTTATAAAGACTCAAATCTACTTCACTATATTAAAATCGAAAAAATATCGATAGTAGTAGACACAGACATAGAAGCTTAACGCATCTGTTTTAAACATGAACTGAATACTTAAGGGGTTACATGGGTTTCGTCGGGTAAAAAATTACCTATATTCAGAATTTTTTTTTATATAAAATATTATTTATTTAATTCAAGTTTTTTTCTGTCTTAAAGATACTCATTTAAAGAATAATTTCTGAGATCAAAAAAAAAAAAATTAAAACTCCGCCATTGTAACGTCATTTCCGGTGACCCCTCGAAAAAAAGGTGCGTCCGCGCTGTCAGCATAACTCCTGACAGAATCATTTAAAATGAAAAAAAAAATATATGTGTTTTAGTTAAGACTAAAAAAACAAGTTCAAATTAGAATTTTGGCAGACCTTTTTCCAAAAAAATTAAAATTTTGTTAAGATTTGCGTCAAGATTTGTTTTTTTTTAAATAGTTATAATTGAAAAAAAATCCTTCGTCCAAGTACGAGTAAATTGTATCTCAAACACCTGTATAAAATTTCATCAAGATCGGTTGAGTAGTTCGCGAGAAATCTTGCCAACCGACTTTGAAAACACAGTTTCGAGAAAAACGCCATTAAAGTGTTAAGTGACAATATAGCTGACCTCGGGCGCGCAATTTTTCAAAGCTGTATCTTCAAAACTATTACTGATATCAACATGAGAATTTTGTACAATATTCTAGAGATGTTATAGAATAAAATAACACAATAAAATTTTTTTTTGTTTTTTGTAGCCGCGAAACCCATGTAACCCTTTAAGAACCACCCTTACAAATATATTACATGGTCTGCCGCCTTTGACCACCCGTACAATTGTATTTAGAAAATAATAGAATAGATATTATTATGATTTTAGACGAATCAACAATACGATATCTTAAATAACATCGTCAGTAAATAAATTTCTTGTTAACATAGTCCTTATAATGTTCTTTTAAATGTCTTTTTACTTTTTAAATCTCATTAGAATGTTCAGTCATTTTTAAAAACTGCATAAACTCATAGATCCGACACTTCTAATTATGGATTTTTATAAATATGCTAAATTACATCTTCTTTCTACGGAGGGTATTCATTCTAAAAATAAGAAAAAACTTTAGCTTCGGCTGCATTTCTTATATCTTAGGTTAGGCGTAGGTTCATCCAAAATCTATGGATCTCACTTGGACAAATGTTTGTCCGCATTGTGTACCACAAATTTATTAAGTCGATTAATATCAATCTCAGCCACTTCTCTAAGATCTTCAATGTTGTGTCTATTATACTTTAATCTCATTCTGGCAAAAGCCGGGCAATAGAGAAGAAAGTAACAAGGTGACTCAACTTCGACCTGCTCTTTACAGCGTTGGCAAAGAGGCTCCGACAATACATTTACATTTTATATTTGTATACGAAATGCTATATCGATATCTCATAAACTGAGGAACTAGTTTGCGTAAATACAGACAGACAGATGGACATGTTTAAATGGGCTCACCTCGTCACACTGATCATTTATATATATTTTATATCGTCTCCGACGATTATTTCTGGGTGTTACAAACTTCGTGGAAAACTTAATTCACCTTGTTCAAGGTATAATAAGATAAGCGCAAATA